ACTTTTTTACCCCATACCCGCTTAGAAAACATACTGAGGATCCACAATTCTCAGATAGAGTTTTATGGTCCAAACAACTTGTAAAAGATTTGGATATTATCACACATAATCTACATAGTTGGAGTATCCAGATCCCACACTAAATGAGAGAAGATAAATCTCATTACCAATTTAAAGTGAACTTGTGAATAAGTGTATTAAACGACAAAACGGGCAAAACGGATTTCGCCATTCAAATCTCTGACTTGAATGGAGAAACCTGGTTTACTTAAATTTTCTGGATAGTTATTTGCCAAATCTCCTAGTGGTGTAACTGTAAATATATTAATAAATATTTGGTACCAAAAAGACGGTTGCCCTGCTGACTATCTAGACCAAGAGTATTCAGAATGGTGCATTGGGCGTCTTGGTTCAATTTTGTGGCTGAACCCGTTGTTTTTTTTTTTACTGCAGTTGCTTGAAAGACAAAATATTTAAAACGAATAGCATCAATAGGTGAACTTCGACAAAGGATTTTGGTGGCTGCAGAAAACATAAATGCACGAGAATAAGCGCGATTGATTAAAATAATTTTTAAGGCGTTGCACAGCATGTATTAACGCTGATGGTAAAAAATACATACATATACATATAATCACGCCTCTTTCCCGTAGGGGTAGGCAGAGACCAGTTCTTTCCACTTGCTACGATCCTTACATACTTGTTTTGCTTCGTCCACTTTCATTATTCCCTTCATACATGCTCTACGGTTTAGGGTACTCTTGACCTGGCCTTTTTTCAAGACGTCCCTGATTTGGTCTAGAAATGTCCGCCTAGGTCTACCCCTTCCAACACTTTCATTCACACTCGCCTTATACACTTTTTTCGTCAATCGTTCTTCATTCATTCTCTCAACATGGCCAAACCATCTCAGCATGCCTTTCTCAATTTTTGTCACTACATCTTCTTTCAGACCACAAGGTTTCCTTATCTCACTATTTCTTATCCTGCCACTCAGTTTAACTCCTATAATACTTCTTAACGCTCTCATCTCAACTGCATTTATTCTGCTTTCATGTTTCTTCTGCCATACCCAAGTTTCACTTCCGTACATGAGTGTCGGAACCAACACCCCCTCATGCACAGCCAAACGAGCCTTGTTAGACACCTTCCGACTGCTCATAAAGGAGTGCAAAGCTCCATTCACCATGTTTCCTGCATTCACTCTTCTTTCGATATCACTCTCACACTTTCCATCTCTTGTAAACTTTGAACCCAGATACACAAACTCTTTCACCTGTTCAATTTGTTCATCTTCAATCACGATATTGCAGTCTGTCACTGCCTCATCTTTTTCAAACACCATCACTTTCGTCTTCCTTACATTCATCTTCATTCCCTTTCTAACAAAAGCTCCACTCATAGCAGTTACCATCTCCTGCAACTCCTCGGCCGAAGACGCAAGTAATACTTGGTCATCAGCATAGAGAAAACATTTGACGAGTAACTCATTCATTCTCAACCCACTTTCATTCTCTTTTAAATCTGTCAAACAATTGTCCATGAACAGATTAAACAGCCACGGTGACGCTACACATCCCTGTCTAACACCTTTTTCGATATTAAACCATTCAGTGTATGCCCCGTTTATCCTTACACAAGCACTAGAATCCCTATAAAGAGATTGCATTGCTCGTATGAGGATACTGCTCACACCGTTCACGGACAATGCTGACCACAATTCATTCCTCACCACTCTATCATAGGCCTTTTCTAGATCTACGAACGCGCAGTAGACTTTCTTGTTTTTAGCCAAATACTTTTCGGCTATGCACCGCAAGGAAAAGACCTGATCCGTACATCCCATTCCCTTTCTAAATCCCGCTTGTGCATCCCATACTTTCTTGTCTGTTTCATTCACAATCCTTTCAATCAACACTTTCGCATACAATTTACCGACGACGCTGAGAAGGCTTATACCGCGGTAATTTATGCAGTCCTGCCGTGACCCTTTTCCCTTATACAATGGCACGATTACGGCTTTGCACCAGTCTCCCGGTACTTGCCCATTTCGCCAGCACAGATTGAAAAGGCGGTACAGCTGAGTAGCCACCAGGCCCTGTCCAGCCCTCAGCATCTCGACGGTAATCCTGTCATACCCTGCAGCCTTACCTAATCTCATACTTTTCAACGCTTTCACTATTTCATCCATGCTTATCTCATTTTCATCAACATTTATATTAGTTTCCGTGGAAGGTGGCAGATGCTGTACCTGCACTTCCTCTCTTTCAAACAAACTTTCAAAATACTCTTTCCATCTCTTTAACACACATTCTTCTCCTTTTATAATGCTCCCATCTTGACTCCTGATTGTACTCAGCTCAGAGGTAGAAGTTTTTCCTCTGGCTGTTTTGATGGTTTTCCAGAAAAACTTAATGTTTGACTGGAAATCTTCAGTGAGCCTCCTATCGAAATCATCCTTTCGTTCTTCTTTCTTGCTAGACACAATTTCTTTCGCTGCTGTTTTCAATCTTTTATACTTCGTTCTTGCTTGCTTTATCTCGTCATCCGTTGCCTTTTGAACTTTTTGGTTAGCTTTTGTTGCTAACCAATCCAACCACGCTTTCTTCTTTTCTTGCACAACCTTTTGTACATCTTTATCCATCCACACGTTATCATTCTTTCTTCCTTTCCTTCTTTTAGCTACCCCGCATACCTCGATAGCAACATTTACGACCCCTTTCTTAAATGTCTCCCACAAATCTTCAATCACTCCTATCTCTTCTATCCCTTTAAAACTTTCTTTCAGTTTCTCTACATACTCGTCTTTCTTTTCTTCTTCTTGTAGATTTTCCACTTTTACTCTGTCCAAAACACTCGTAGGCTCGGCCACTCGGTGTCGCCACCGTTTAAAGAGGCCACGCATTCGGGCTATGACCAGGAAGTGGTCTGTGTCGAGGCCTACACCGCGGTATGCCCGAGTGTCTAGCACTTTCTTCCTCAATCTTTCATCCACAATTACAAAATCAATCATACTTCTAGACTCACCCTCATCTCTTGTATACAAATGGATCTTTTTGTGGTCAAACATTGTGTTGGCCACGCACAGATTCCATTCCAAGCATACTTCAAGCAGGCTTCTCCCATTGTCATTCACTCTCTCGTCCCCAAACGTACCCAGAACTCCTTCATACCCATCACGCTTTACTCCAACCCATCCATTAAAGTCCCCTAACATCACGATCCGTTCATTTTCTCCGCATTTATTCAAGACCTCTCTCATGCTATCCCAAAATTCCTCTCTCTCTTGTTGTGTTTTTATGGACCCACCTCCACGCAGATCCGTCGGTGCATAGACCCCAAGGATAAACAAGCGAGTGAGTCCGACTTTTAACCTAATCCAGAGGAGTCTTGGGCTTATACCTTCATGCTCCATCACACATTCAACCATTCGAGATGAAAGAATCACACCAACTCCCTGACAGCCTCGGCTGGTTTGGGGGACTCCCGACCAGTATGCCGTGTAGGGGCCATGAACCGTGGTGTCACATCCTTTCCTCTTGGTTTCGTTCACGCACAGAATATCAATGCAACGTTCATCCATCATCTGACATACTTCATCTACCTTACCATCCATTCCTCCTCTTACATTCAACGTAGCGAAGCGGCTCTCCGCTCTGGTAAAAAATCAGAACATTTAATTTGATTTACTTACATAAGAAACGTTTCAATTTCACATCATTAATTTCATTTAAACAACTATCTGTCCTACTCTTGCCTACCAATGGTGTCAACGCTTGCCTATCGGAATGTGTAACCCAAAACTTGTTTTTGGGGCACACAATAACGTTTTCAAGGATAATAATTAATAATTGTATTTGGTTCTTGTTCAGAAAAAATATAAATATTTTTTTGTGCTTAGTGTAACTAGAGTAGTATACCATTTTAGATTCTTGATTAGTTGTGTTAACTATTATAATAACTTGCCATAGTACTACAAAAAATTATCAAATTTTTTTATACCGTGGCGAGTGAAAGTTGATTAAAGGTTAAAATTGCAAGAAAAAATTAATTTTATTTTATTTTTTTCTTAAAACTGCAGATATTTTCGTTGTATTTGGAACTGAAATAAACATCTATGCTATTTAGGCTGCTAATATAATAAATATATATAATATAATAAAATAATAAATAATAATAGTGATATATGCAAATTTGCAGTCATAGTACCTAAAAATATTGTATAGCGTGTCAAATTTTAAAGTATTTAAAAAAGTTATTATAACTCAAAAAAAAGATTTTTTCCCCGGACATTCATCAATTTGTCCACTCCCTGGTGCTCGCTTAACGTTGCATTTTGAAACACGCTGTATATAAGTCGTAATATCCATACTTAAGACATAGAGTATCGGTCTTGTTTACTAGATTCCAAATCAAAACAAAATGTTTACTAGATTCAAAATCAATACTTTTAAATCCCAGTCAATCACAGCTCCATAATGACATATACTCCACAATAATTTATTTCTTTCTTTATTATTTAAAAAGTTACATCACACTATAATTTTCTCATGTACGTGGAGGCACTTAATAAACATAATTTCAAAAGGACAAGCATCCAGACCCGGAACAATTATTTGTAGGCCATATAAATACTTGTTCCGTGTAGTATTCGCACCCATGACCCTTAGCGCACTAACTCAACGCTAATCCATGGAGACGTCAAATTACAATTTAGTAAACAAAATACACACGTGAAGTAATCGCCGAACATTGAAAAATAGCTAGACGCGCGCGGTTGCTATACCGAGCGCGAGGTTGCCATATCGTGCGCACTCCAGCGCTGTCTGTCTGTTTGATTATCTTTCATAATATTAATGATTCTGAACATAGGCCTTTCCTATAGATTGCCTCATAGGAAGGATTTTGCCATAGTTGTTTTTTTTTATTATCTTAAATTGTTATAAGGAAGATGTTGCTACTAATATTCTAGATTTCTCCAATCCAATTTGGAAACTTACATAAAAATGCGATGGTACACTTGGCGATGTAGGCGGAAAGCTCAGTAGGTTCCTTCAGGCCGAGGAAATTGAACGTTTGCCGTACCACACTGTACGGCGTCTCGGGTAGCGGCTTACTGTTTTGCAGCTTTAGTCTGTTATCTTCTTCATACCTATAACCAAGGCATTTTTTGAAGTGTGAATACATCTTTATAATCGTTGTGATTTGAAACTCGATGAAAGGAGAAAGCGACACTTAAAAGAGACAAACATATACATCTATAGGTTGTAGCCTGCGAGATAATGAGATATACTTTAAAATTAATTTTTTTTTACAACCGACTTCAATATAAATTATTATGAATAACTCAAAAACTATTAGTCAGACTTTAATCAATTTATATGGGACCACATGTGAAGCACCAGCTTTCAAATAAAAAAAGAATCATCGAAGTTGGTTCACCCAGTAAAAAGTTATGAGGTAACACACATAAAAAAACGTCTCTTTTCTGAAGTCGGTAGAAAATACAATGTAGTAAGCGACAGTAACCTAACGGCAGGGTACGGACCGCAAATTCAAAAGGTTGTGGGTTCTTCGAATCCACCATTCGAATATTATCGTGAACCACTCCTAATACAAGCATTTTCTGAAGTGTCAAGCATTTTGAAGTAAATTGAAAGTGGCAATGGGCCGTCCATACAGTTCAAAGAATCGACAACCGGTTTATTAAAATGCAGATGCGTAGTCACCCCTTAGGAATTAAATGGAATACCTAGTTACTAGTAATAAGAGTCTCTTGCAATTTAACGCTGGTATTCTGTGCGAGAGAGAGTAACCGACATAGTCCAATGGATCAGCAAAATAAAGTGGCAATAGACTGGCTATATAGTTCGAAGAACCGACAACCAATGAGAAAAAAAAGTTTCTCGAGTGGTAGCCTCCTACCGTAAGAGGATTGCAGGATGACTGTCCACAAGATATACCTAGTAAGATATGCAGGAACTTCCATTGATGTAGGTTGCTCAGGACCGTGTTTAGGCTTATGTTCAGTAGTAGACTTGGACTAGAAGGGCTGTAATGATGATGATGATGGATTGTGTAACTGCTGTTCGTGTATCACTCTCAAGAAATTATAAAATAATTTATTAGTATCTTGTATAAATGGTTCTTACCTTAGAATTAGCACACTGGTGGCAACTATAGTGTAGGCGAGAAGTGTACCAATTGACATCATGTCTATTAGCTGGTTGAGGTTGAAGATCGCCGCCATTGTTGCTGGTGACAGAGTACGATTTTATTTAAACGTGTATAATGAAATTATTTATTTATTTGACACTTTTTTGTACTAAAGGTACAAACGGTGGACTTAATGTTTTAAGTCATTTTCTACCAGCCAACCAGAAAGTTAGTAGGAGAAGTGAGCTAACTTAAGAATACGGTTTGGTATTTAATTAGTTATATGTGTGGTGACGCCGTATGAGAATTCATTACTTTTTTTTGCCACCTGGATGTCTTAAGAGGCGACTATGGAAAATGCCAGAAAGCTTTCATGTCTTCTGATAAACGTTAGGCACCAAATACCGAGACCAGCGACGGGTATCAAAGGGTCAGGTCTGGTACTGCAAACGTTAATCCGCCTACTAAGTGATGATTAAATCACGGTGACTTAATAAATCAGTGTATTTTAAGCACATAGTGCGATTGGTTTTATTTAATATAGTATTTATCATCCATACAAATAAGTATTAATTATTATAAAGTGCAGGAAAACACTCTACATTTTTGGTCCATCGAGCCGGATTTGAATCATTTACCTTCGGATATGTAGTCGAATAAAATAATTGTTAAATGAATGGATTAATTAGTGATTTTTTATTACAGTAACAAATGAGTACATAGTCAAGTTGGTGGTAAGAGAATGCAGTAGCTTGCAGAAAAAGTATAGCTTTTGATTCTAAATTTATTCTTAACACTATTTAAGAATAAATTTAGAATTGAAAACTCAACTTTTGAGGGGAGGGTAATATTGAACTGAGGTTTATACTGAGCTGTGGACTTGTGAAGTGGTGATGGTACCATTGGATGGTGTGACGACCATGTAAGAGATGCAGAAGTGTTTTGTGGCTTTCCTTGGGGCCATACTGAGCTTGTGACTTGTGGTGGGTTGTGATGATGACGAGGACCAACCGGCGAGCAGTCCACTGAGCGCGGTGGCGACGAGCGGTGTTTGCGTGCGCGGGTGCACGCGGGCCAGCGCGCGGAACAGCACTTTGTCGCTGGCCATGGCGTAGAGCACGCGCGGCAGCGGGAACATGGCGCCCAGCAGGCTGGTGCACAGCGCGCACACGGCGCCGCACGCCACCAGCCACTGCACGCCCGGCAGCCCGGCGCGCGCGAACGCGTACGGGAACGGCGCGTCCGCGTCCTGCCGCACACACGCACAACACAAATTACTACAAACACTCCTATGTATACTACTAGGTGGGCACTGCTTTACTAATACATTGCACGCGAAAACATACGGCAGTCTTTCTCAAAGTGGGCGATAACTCACGCTTGTGGACGTTGGAGACCTAAAGAGGGGCGTTAAGGGGCCCAGAAAAAAATGGGGGGCGTTGGCGTGATTAAGGGAGGCGACGGTTGATTTGTAATTTCATTTAGATACTTTATATTTTAAAATTTACTAAAATTAAAACCTACCTACTACTCAATATAGAATAATTTATGTTTCTGCCCTGTATGACGGTAAATAAACTAGAAAAACTTAATAGTAGGATAGCCCGTACGCCGTACGCAATCAAGGTAGCAATTGGCTGGTTCATCGATACTTGTCTTGACTTGCTCAGTACGATTGAGCGTAGAAGGAGATAAACGAGTTTGTGCGTGTTTGTCTTATTCTTGTCGGTGCGTGTAGCATTTAACTCCTATATAAAAGCTCGCAATCATTTTTATATTTTCATTAGTGGTTTCGCGTGCAATCTTTAAACAAATATTTAAGTACAACACTTTATTTACATAAAAACAAAGCCATGTCGGAAGCAAAAAAGACGAAACGGCAATATGGTGCAGAATATATTAAATATGGATTCATAGAAAATTCGACAAATCCATCTTTGTGTTTGTGCCTTCTTTATTCAAAAACATTTTCAAACGAAGCGATGACGCCTTCTATACTGCATTTTATTCAAATGATCTCACCCCGATAAGGACAAAATTGTAGCCTATTTTCAAGACCTGGAAAAGAAGCATAATGCTCAGCTAAGTGTATCAAAACGGTGGCTGCTAAGCAAGACGATGACGGACTTTGAGCTTCATACAATATCTCTTTGTAAATTGCTCAAACGGGTAAACCACACACCATCGGAGAAACGTTAACTTTTTGTTTTTATTAAGTTCAAATCATCGCCTTAAAGTTAGAGATTCATATCATTAAGCAACTTACAAAGGTCTGTCAGGTATGCGATATCATTCTTTGATGTGATGAGGTTGTCGCGCAATTCTGTCTCTTTGTTTTCCAAGAACTCTACGAGAGAGTCAAACAGTTTGTAAAATCGAGTCAGACAATTTCCTTTTGATAGCCGACGCACTTCTGTGAGAAAGATCAATCGGTTGAAATCTTCATCATTATTAACACAGAGCTGATTAAATAATCTGTCAGTTAAAGAGTTGTTTCGGATTTTATTGACTGTTCTGATGACATGTTGCAATGATTGAAACAGTCATTTACTTAAATTTCTAGCAACCAAATATTGTCGATGTATAACGCAATGTACAGCAAACACATTTGGAATTTTGTTTTTTAAGTACGCTATGAAGCCTTTTTGAAAAAGAAGAGACGGCATATTGCCGTTGCTTTTTTGCCGTGGCTTTGTTTTTACAAATATGGAAATAAAGTGTTGAACTTAAATACTTGTTTAATTAAAGATTGCGCGCGAAACCACTAACCTATAATATAAAAATGAATCCCTGAATGTGTTGCTAAGCGCAAATCTCGAGAGCAGCTGAACCGTTTTCGCTAATTCTTTTATTTTTATAATATTCCCTGAAGTACGAAGATGGTTCTTACGGAGAGATAACTTTAAAAAATTGCCTGAAAAAGTCTAAAAACAACACTTTTCTATATTCCCATACCAAAGATTCGTAATAATACTTAAAAGTCAATTTGAACATTAATACCATACCATAAAGTTTAAATGTTAGTGGAGGGGTTCTGGGAAGGCAAAACAATTGAGTGGCGTTAGTATCGTATAAATAATCGTGGGGCTTGGTTGTAGTGACTGTAGTTGGCTTCTTGTCAACAGAACATATGACTTCAAATGAAAGTGTTAACTAAGGTTTTCATAGATCCCCAAATTTCTGACAATACGTGTTTATTTTTGACAATTTTATACTTGGTAGAGCCAAGCCAGCTGTATTTTGTTTGGAGAACGTATGGGTAGTTATGGGCATAGTACAATTAATTTACAGTAGGTGGCGAACGTATAGTACCGACACATTTGTAAGTTATACATCATTCAACATCAATGAATGCATTGTCATTCCTAATAATATTACTCTTCCAAATTTAAAACGATATTACCACAATTATTTCTTCTGCGGCTGCAACGCGCCGGGTGCCAGCTAGTAAAAATATAAAAATTATAACGAGTTTCTATATAGGATTTAAATACAGCATCCACCGACAAGAATAAGACAAACATGCACAAACTCATTTATCTCTTTCATAGATTACCTCCTAATAGATACCGCATCATTGAATATTTGTTCTGTTTCGAGTTCACCAAAATTGGCCCTATGCAAGGGTTGCGGGGGACGTGGCAAATGCGCTGTGATTGGATATTTAAAGGTCAAACTTAGAATGTACCAAACCATAGTGATGGAACAGGGTTGGGACGTTAATCGATAAATTTGGGATTTATTGATTATTGATAATGATAAATAAATATATTGATCAATTTTTATTTGATGTTTATTAAAAAATTAAACATTGTATACATATATTTGTACATTTAATTTATAAATATATATTTGACTGATTTTCAAAATGGATAATCTTAGTATAAAATTGTCTCACAGAATTCTTAGGATCTGTCTTCCTGGATGAGTAGAGTAATCTTACGAGTATGTCTATGTATTTTTCCATAACACTCTTAGCTATATCAATGACATGATTACAACTTTCGTGATCGAATTGGTGATTTTTTTATTTCATGAAAAATATCATCATTAACAAAACTGCTTATTTATTTATATTTATTATATATATATATATATATATATATATATATATATATATATATATATATATAACTCTAAATCACAAAACACACAATCGTAGTCCAAGATAATGCCAGGTCAGTTCAGTTTGCAGATCACTTCCAGTCCAAATAATGCCAGGTCAGTTAAGTTTGCAGGTCGATTCCAGTCCAAAAAGCCAAGCCAAAAGTCGATAGTATGTACGAGGGCCACGTAAGTTGAATTGGGTACGGTGCGCAGTAAACAAAGGAGCAGAGCGTACTGAACCGACTTGCTGAGAATAATAACAGCTTCTCTACCTGCCCTGTTGTAGTCTCTTTTTAACGTAAATATCTCTATCTATCTATCTCTCTCTAACATCTAAGGTATTAATGCCCCATTCGAACTCCTAGAAATTGTAACAGGAACCCATTTTGGGCATGTAGTAAAAGTGATTACTGACAATTACAATTTAAGGAATTTGGCCCCTGTTAAGAAATAATAGGCCCATATTTTTTTATAACTTGTTTTCCTAGAGTATTATACCATTTTGGAATATTGGTTAGTTGCGTCAATTTTTAAAAAAACTTGCCATACTAGTGTTCATACTTCTTTTTTACACCACGATAAGTTAAATTTGGTTAAAAGTAAAAGTCTTCAAAAAATTTAGGGAATAAAATAAGTTTCATTAATTTTCGTGATAAAACAAGAGTTATTCTGGAGTTTTTAAGAATTGTGGTAGATAGCAGTACTATTCAGGTTGCCTATAAAAAAAAAAGAAAAAAATATTTAAAAAATTGTGGTCATGGTAGTGAAAAATATCATAAACGGTCTCAATTTCTGAAGAATTTCATTTTTTTTATATAACTTAAAATATAATTGGGATATATTTTTTTTTCTTTTTTTACCCGATTAGTCCGGGGCAGGTCTATCCTCCGGTGTTGGCTTATCGTTGAATTTTGGGACACGTGTATATATATATATATATATATATATTATTTTATTATAATTATTATTTATAATTAAGCTTAATTGATTGTGTTAAAACTACAAACTTTCCTAGTGTTTTTACAGAAGATAAAGAAGTATTAAATGTTTTGCGTACATAATTATAAGCCTAGCTGAGTAATTTATGGTGAGTGCAAAAGTTCTTAATTGTGGTGAATATTTTTTTCTAACAATTTTGCCTGATTTTCTAGATTTTGATTTTTCTAAGGAACTTAATTCGTCATTGTTTTCCGCTGCTAATGAATTTTTGTTTTCTAATTCTACCAATGATGACTTCAAAGAAACTATTTGTGTTTTTAGTCTTCTGTTGGAATCACTTAACTTTTTAACTTTTTTATCTTTTTTGTTCATTACGTTGGTTAATTCGATGATTCTTCTACAAAGACGTTTTTAACTGGAGTATCAAATGCAGATGGCGTATCAGGTATAGGAGAAAATGTTCTTTTTTATTTTGTAGGCGTTTCTAAGCAATGACTCTGATTTTTAGGTGTTGGCGGGTTTTTCGCGTCTTTCAGCGGTGAACCAGTAATCTAAATCAGAAATACATATTCGTTTCTTTTAAAACATTACCGATATAGTATTATTAATTAATACACCATACGGCACGTCTTCCAAATTTAGATGTACTTAATAATTATAATAAGATAATACTAAAGTTCATGTAACACTAAATACCAAGTCAAAACAATAATCACATTATAACTTTTACAAGTTTTATGATTTATAAATCCTTTCAAAATAGCTTGATTTCGACGTGTAACATTTACCTAAATATAAGAATATCATGTTTCACTCAACCACTTGTAATCTACGTTAGTACTAATCTTTAAAAAAAAATGCAAAAGTCCATACCAAAACTGGCAAGAATCCAACAGCTTTATACGATTTTTCATAATATTATGAAGATTGTCTTCTGTGAAGTGTTTTGAGCATAGTACACTATTTTTGGTGGGAAACCATTCGTTCCCTCGACAATTTGCGTCGATCCACATCTTTTTTCCTTTCGGGGCATTTAGGAAACCTATAACATATAGGTACCACAATGATACGTCACTATTTTTATAAAATAATATGACTTCGAAAAAATAATTAAACGATGACCAAACAAATATCGACTTAAAAATCACAACACTATCGATTCACGGGCTGTTGTTAGACAAAGACAACTATTGTAATTTACGT